CCTTGATGGTCGCTAGCCAAATGTAGTGGACCTTATTGTAAGTCCATAGTCCAGGTAAAAATTAATTATTTACCATATAAATAACATTGCATTTAGTCATCAGATCAGAAAGACTGCTTCATAATTTTTTACTCTCCAATTTAGCGTTTTCAGATTGAGCTGTACATATTTGTCCAGAGGAGGGAACTATAGATCAACATCAGAACATCATATCATCTTGTGACAGGCTACATAGGGACAAATGCTGGAAGCTAAAGTATGATGATGCAATGCATCTGACTCAAACATGACTTGATAATTCAATGACAAGGCTACACCTTACAGGCTGGGTGCTCTTGAAGCAGAAAACATAAATGTAAGAATGAAAACTATATTGTATAGAGATATAGAATCTCCTCTGTGTCCTGAATAGACAACAAGCTCCTTTTTTTTAGATCTAACCCTGAGATAATGCGGTACACAACACATTTCCCCTCCATCCATCAATCCCTTCCAGAAAGAGTTATACATAAGGACTAGATCATATCAAGAACCTGGGCCAAAACATTAACAGTTTCTTCCTGTTTTCACTCTATTGGTCTTTCACCCTCACTGTGGGTGTGTCCCAAATAGCACCCTATTCCCTTGCCAATACTTCAACGGTGAGGTACTTGGCAACCTATTCTCTACATAGTGCACTATTTTTGACCAGAGTCCATTGGCAGTGCTTCATTTGAGTCATTGTCCTGTTGTGTGTTGGGTCATTGTCCTGTTGAAAAACAAATGATAGTCCCACTAAGCGCAAACCAGATGGGATGGCGTATCGCTGCAGAATGATGTGGTAGCCATGTTGGTTAAGTGGGAAGCACACATGCAGAGATCATCTGTTCACCTACTCTGCGTCTCACAAAGACACAACGGTTGGAACCAAAAATCTCAAATTTGGACTTATCAGACCAAAGGACAGATTTCCACCGGTCTAATGTCCATTGCTCTTGTTTCTTGGCCCAAGCAAGTCTCTTCTTATTATTGGTGTCCTTTAGTAGTGGTTTCTTTGCAGCAATTCGACCATGAAGTCCTGATTCACGCAGTCTCCTCTGAACAGTTGATGTTGAGATTTGTCTGTTACTTGAACTCTGTGAAGCATTTATTTGGGCTGCAATTTCTGAGGCTGGTAACTCTAATGAACTTATCCTCTGCAGCAGAGGTAACTCTGGGGCTTCCTTTCCTGTGGCAGTCCTCATGAGAGCCAGTTTCATCATAGCGCTTGAAGGTTTTTGCGACTTCACTTGAAGAAACGTTCAAAGTTCTTGAAATGTTCCGGATTGACTGACCTTCATGTCTTAAAGTAATGATGGACTGTCGTTTCTCTTTGCTTATTTGAGCTGTTCTTGCCATAATATGGACTTGGTCTTTTACCAAATAGGGCTATCTTCTGTATATCAACCCTACCTTGTCACAACACAACTGATTGGCTGAAACGCATTAAGAAGGAAAGAAATTCCACAAATTAACTTTTAACAAGGCACACCTGTTAATTGAAATGCATTCCAGGTGACTACCTCATGAAGTAGTGACTACTACGTAGTGACTACTACGAGTGGCGCAGTGGTCTAAGGCACTGCATCACAGTGCTAGCTGTGCCACTAGAGATCCTGGTTCGAATCCAGGCTCTGTCGTAGCCGGCCGCGACCGGGAGACCCATGGGGCGGTGCACAATTGGCCCAGGGTAGGGGAGGGAATGGCTGGCAGGGAGGTAGCTCAGTTGGTAGAGCATGGCGTTTGCAACGCCAGGGTTGTGGGTTCGTTTCCCACGGGGGGCCAGTATAAAAAATAAAATCAAAAGGATAATAATGTATGCACTCACTAACTGTAAGTCGCTCTGGATAAGAGCGTCTGCTAAATGACTCAAATGTAAATGTAATGAAGCTGGTTGAGAGAATGCCAAGAGTGTGCAAAGCTGTCATCAAGGCAAAGGTTAGCTACTTTGAAGAATCTCAAATATATTTTGATTTGTTTAACACTTTTTTGCTTACTACATGATTCCATATGTGTTATTTCATATTTTTGATGTCTTCACTATTATTCTACAATGTAGAAAATAGTAAAAATAGAGAAAAACCCTTGAATGAGTAGGTGTGTCCAAACCTTTGACTAGTACTGTGTACATATAAAAATCATACAGTGGACACCTAAGCCTATAGGCCTTTGCATGCAATACCCTGATACATTTAGTGGTCAAATCTCTAACAGCTGAACCGTGAGGTGGAAAAGTATTGTTTTAGGAAAGTAGCCTTATGAAGATTTTTGAATATTCACATGAAAATCTATCGCCAATTAGATGGAAACCTAGCTATAGACACCCAAACACTCTGGTAATGCGCTAGTCCAATGTCACGTTGATTATGCCTGCACATCATGGTTCACCAGCAGCCCCAAACATCTAAAGAATAAACTACAGACCAGCCAAAACAAGCTTGTAAGAATTGTACTTAAACTCCCCCCTCATACTTATCTGGAGGTTGAGAATTGTTTTGTCTCTATCTCTGTAATGTGTCTGTATCTATGTAATTGTATATGTATTTATTACAAATAATAATAGCGATCACAATGGAAATAAGTCCCCGACTTTATTATGCAATCCCGGTCACTTAAACAAATATTTGTGTGTATATATGTATTTTTTTTTACTGACAAATAAAATATATCAATCAATCCAAAGTGTGCAGCGGCCAATTTGTTACAAAACACCAAAAAGTTTAATGACATTCTGAGATTGTCAAGTCTTCGATACTGGGTAAGCCTACAAGGTAGGGAGGGATGTATGTTCTGTTTGTCCAGATTGACACAGTCTATTTATTGTGGTGTTAAAAATGCAACCTAGGATATTGAAGTGCCCGAAGTCGGTATAGTTTGTTTCTTGGTTGTGTGGTGGATTGGCACAGAAACCTGTTGGTGGAAAATTTGTTGCATATATTTTATATAATTACAAATATGGCATCCAAATGTAGAAAATCGGATTTCCCCCTAGCTGATCAGTGTCTGCAGCCGGCTCTGATCGTAGTGTAATGAAACATGCAGGGAGAGTGAGCTCGTCTGTGGTGGTCGGCGAACCCTCAACCTTCTGGCCCGTAGCCCTGCGTGGCATCAACTGTGCCACAAAAGCATGCTGAAGTGGCAAAGTCAATATCCATGTTTATAAACACAGGGTCGCTACAGTTATTGTTATTTGTGGTTGTAAACATTATCTTTAGTTAATTGTATGATTCTATGAGAGGGGAGGGTGTTAAATTTATTTTCCAGTACAAGGGGAGGGTCATGTGAAAACATTTTTTACTTTAGGGAGGGGGGTGCATTTTGTTTTTTAATGACACCTTGAGTTGGACCAGCCCCTCCCACCCAGTAAATTTCGAACATGCAAGATTACAGATGAAGAGTTTATTTTTGCTTTTGCTTAGTATTCTCTAACATGCTGTAAGCCATTTTACAGAGCAGTCACAGAGATAGATCGAGGACTCATCATGGATGTAACCCGTTTTAGCATGGACATTGCCATTGAGGGCTTCCACCATGCTTGCGCCATTTTACAGTAGTCAAAGTAGTCAACTGGGTGAGGATTTCAATGGGTTGTAGCCTCGATGGCGCTGCCCATGCTGTCACAGACGCTATAATGGCACAGATATAAAGATGAGTCCTCTATGAGAGCAGTATGGATCAAACACTATGGAAGGTTTTCTGATCGTTACTCTCCTGCTTTCACAAAATTATTTATTTAGTGAACATCAAGAAGATTTTGCATTGTAATATCGCAACATGAATAATATAAACAAACAACAGTCATACTTTATTCCAAAGAAAAATACTTAATTTTTTTGTGCCACAAATTTGTGTTGTTGATGACTGATCAAAAGGTATTTTACACACGAAGCTACCGTTTTCCGAAACCTCCATAAGAAATGGTGAAACAAAAAGAATATTAAAGGCCCAGTGCAGTCAAAAATGTGACTATCCTGTGTTTTATATATATTTCCACACTATGAGGTTGAAATAATACTGTGAATATGATGATAATGCCCTTTTAGTGTAATTAGTCAAACTTTCAGTTTTCCTCTCCCCATTCAGACCATTCCCACAAATTCTTGCTTGAGAAATTGCCCTTTGCTAAGAAGCTATTTTTGTTTATTTTTGCCCATTTTAATTGAAAACAATCACAGTAAGGTACTTAATTGTTACCCAGAAATGATTTGATATTGAGATAAAAATGGCTGCATTAGACCTTTAACAACATGAATTATGGAACAAAAAATATCAACAACTCTCAGTGTGACAACAAGCCTGATGAGGGATTAATAACATTGTGTCAATCAAAACAAAAAGCATTGCATTCTGGGTAGATTAAAACATGCATGGAAATGCATTCTGGTCAACATGCCACACAGCCTGATCGAAATCAACATGAATATAAAAATATTTTTGGAAAACATAACTACAATACAATCTCATTTCAATGTGCTTTGCCCCAGTGTTTGAAAAGTTGAAAAGGGACATGTACAGTGCTATGAAAAAGTATTTGCGCAGCTGGGTCATGCAGCAAGACAATGATCCAAAACACACAATCAAGTCTACATGAAAATTGCTAAAAAGCAACAAATTGGATGTTTTGGAATGGCCTAGTCAAAGTCCAGACCTAATCCCAATTGAGATGTTGTGGCAGGACTTGAAACGAGCAGTTCATGCTTGAAAACCCACACGTCACTGAGTTAAAGCAGTTCTGCATGGAAGAGTGTGCCAAAATTCCTCCACAGCGACGTGAGAGACTGATCAACAACTACAGGAAGCATTTGGTTGGAGTCATTGCAGCTAAAGGTGGCACAACCAGTTATTGAGTGTAAGGGGGCAATTACTTTTTTTCACACAGGGGAATTAGGTGTTGCATAACTTTGTTTATGAAATAAATATGTAATTGTTGTGTTATTTGTTCGCTTATGTTCCCTTTATCTAATATTAGGTTTTGGTTGAAGATCTGATAACATTCAGTATCACAAATATGCAAAAGTAGAGAAAATTAGAAAGGGGGCAAATACTTTTTCATAGCACTGTATGTGTGTCTGTGATAGAGCTATTGTGTGTTTTCTGTGTTCCTGTGTGTATTTGTTTTTGGCCGGCAACAGACTGGTCAGAATTTAATCATGGGTGACTCTGAGTCCATAGATAGATAGTGGGGGTAGCATGTGGCCCTCAGCACTTCCCTCCCCCTGAGGAGGTAGAGCTGCAGACTGTCGACCTCCTCAGTTCAATTTTCATTGACTGGCGCTCGGTTCGCGACTCTAACCGTGTCACAGTGGACACGCCTGTCACAACTGCCTTGCCTGTTTTCATACCTTTTGGCATAGGGATTCGTGTGGCCGCGGCCCGAGATGACTGCACATCCGCCCCGGGCTGAAAGGAATCACACAAAGTAAGACAAAAGCACAGACAGAAAAGGTTTTTTCAAGTATTATTATCATAGTATCATAGACAAGCACAATAGCAACAACAACAACAATTTACTTTGTGTACATTTGGTGGAAGCAAATTCAAGCTGGCAAGCTATATACTTGTTGCTGTGAGACCACTGTTTTGTCATACATGTAAATTAAAGAAATACATTCACACCGATTCAAGAGGGATGACAAGAGTTGGCCATCTTGGATATTGATTTTGATTAGAATTGCAATAGAATTGAAGTGTTACATTTCTTATCTTTCAAAAAGCTTCCATCCATAAAGAGCTTATTTAAATCTAGCTGTATTAAATGCCACAGTGTTACCATAGTTACCATAGCTCACCTCACCCTTCACAGCATTAGGAAAGTGCATTTCAAAGCTAGCATCCCAAAAATAGTTTAGGTTGAATTAACAGAACTTGGGATAATATATTATACACTACAGTAAGCTGGTGTTATTGGTGATGAGCAGGTAAGCCCACTTTAGTAGTCAAACATCCAAATTGGTCATCACTGGTCCATTTTGGGTTAAAAGGAAGGAACATGTCAGTTTGTGCCAGTAGAAACAGGTGTGTCAAAACAAGGCCCTTTGAGAGTGGCCTTCTAAGTTGGGGATATGCATGTCAATTCATTCCGGTGTTAGTATTGGTAATATGTAATATAAGAAGTGTATTTATTTTGGTATACCTGGAAAGAGTGCTATCTAGGGAGCAGACCCCACCTGATATCATTTTGAAACATTTAAGAAGCAACTGAAATATAGAAGATTGGATATCATTTAGATTTTTTTATCTGAAAAGAAAGTCACATAATTGAACATACATACTTTATTACTAACAATGGAATAGAATGTACTTAGCCTACCAGCTGTAAATGGTTACATCCAATCAATTTCTAAATTGTGCAATAAAAAGTCTCTCTGTTAGTGAGACAGCCCTTGTTCAAATCATCATAGAAAGGGACAGAGAGAGAGATAGACGGCAGAATGAATAGAGGGTTTATGTAAATATACTAGATTTTGAATACTCACCACAGACTGAGTTGGCCTGGAGAGGGCAGAGGTGATGGGGGTGATGGTGATGCTGCTGGTCAATTTGCTGGGCGTGGTCTTCCCAGGCACGGTGGTGTTGTTGGGGTGACGCGGGGAGCGCAGCACCGTATCCGTCGGTGCCTCCTTGCTCTCTGTGCTCACACTAAGGGGCCTGACTGTCACTGTGGGGCTGCTACTGCTGCGGTTCGATGGCCTCTTGAACTGAGCTCCCAGGTGGATGTGGATCTTGTTGTCCTCTGTGGTGGTGATGATACTGGCGTTGGAGTTGTAGTTTCTGACAGGCGAGGGCACTGTCTGCTTCTCTGGGGTCACCTTGAACACAGCCCGGCCCATGGTGCTCATGTCATGGGGCTCAGGGGAGGCGGAGGCAAAGGCCTCTGTTACTGGAGTGGTTTTCACTGTGATGATGGGGACGGGGAAGAGGGGTCTGTTCGAGTCTGAGTAGGAGGAACCCTTACTCCTGTCTGGGGACTTGGCCCTGGAGATGGTGGTGATGGTGACTGGAGACTTGCACCGCTCAGGCCCCCCCATCATGCCCTCACCTGGCTTGCTCTTTGAGGACACAGTGGTGGGCTTGGGAACAATGGTGATGCGGGGCCTCTGAAGGCCCAGGGTGGGGATGATGGTGGCGCTGGAGAAGAAGTCCTCAGCACGAGGGCCGGTGATCTTCAAGGAGGCAGTGCTTTTCTCGTGATCGGGGGTCACTCGGATGTGCAGAGGCTGGCCTGGCTTTTGGGACATGGTCAGCTCGGGTGGATGAGGCGAAGATTTCCCGTTAACCTGAGGGGTTGGGGTCTTCTCTGGGGTGGTCTGAGTGATTGTCACCGCATCATTCTTTTTCATCCAGGGTATCCAAGATTTTCTCATGCCCAGATCGGTGGCTGCAGGGGGGTAGCGCTCCAGCACGGTTGCAGGCTTTTTTAGACCCCTCTGCCTCAGGTTGCTCATGATATGGTTCTCCTCCAGGACAGATTTCCTGATGAATACTGCAGGTGTGTCCTCCTCAGCCAGCTCATTGATCACTACGTCTGTTTGCACTGCGGTGGAGGTGACTGGGACGTCTACTATCCTCCTCCCATTCATACTGGGACGCAGGGCGCGGCTGTAGCGCTTGGTGACCTCCAGCTCTTTGGTGAGGTTGACCACTTCCTGGCTCAGGTTCTTCTTCTTGTCCTCCTCCTCCAGGAACCTCTGCTGGAGGAGGGAGTAGTCCACCTGCAGCTGGGAGAGCTGGTCCTCCTTGTTCATCAGCTCGTGGATCTTCTCTTTGAGGGCCTGGACGTCTGCCTGCAGGTCTCTGGTTCTGGCCTCTTCTATTTTGCAGCGCATCCTCAACTCAGCCTCCTGGCTCACTGCCTCTCCCTTCTCTATAGCCTTGTTCATGGCAGTCTGACTCTTCATCTCATCCAGCAGCTGAGCGAGGGCATTGGCCTTGTCCTGCTCCGTTCGGAACTTCTTCTCCAGTAATTCGTACTCGTCCTCTGTCTTCATCAGGTCACCTTCCACCACCTCTAGCTGTTTAAGGTGGTTTTTGAGTCTTTCGATTTCCTGCGTTAGCTCCTTGACTTTGTTGTGCTCGTCTAGGGATCTCTTGTCCTTATTAGCTCTGCTTTTTAATGATTCTCTTTCTGCCTCCTCTAGCCCCTTCATCCGATTTTTCATCACGCCGACCTTGAAGCTAAGATCCCTGCATTTTTCCTCTTCACTTGCGAGTTTCGTTTTCAGTTCATCTTTCTCTTTAGTAAGAAACGTCACTTTTACCTCCATTTCTGATTTCAGTCTGAGGAATTTTTTGCTCTCCTCAATCAACTTTTCTGTGACCTCCATAACCTTACCCTGCTCAGTTTTGAACATCTTATTTAAATCGTCGCTCTTTAGCTCCTCCTGTTTAATTCTCTCAGTCATGTTCTTCCTCTCATCCACTAGTATCACTGTAAATGACTTCAGCTTCATCAGGTCATCCTTTAGGCCCATCTCTGCTTTCTCAAGTCTCGACTCAGAGTTCTCCAGTTCTTTCATACGGTTTTTCACTGTGTCCAGCTCACCAGCTAAGTCCTTTGCCAGTCCTTTCTCTCTTGCTATGTTAATATGGAGTGTTGCACACTCTGATTTGCTCGTGTTGAAAGCCCCCTCCAGTTTCTCCAGCTCCACCATTCTCTTCTGCAGTTTCTCCACCTCCAGCCTCAGCTCCCGGCCGGTGGTCTCCTCATCCTGTAGCCTCTTCCTCAGCTCCCTGGCCTGGCTCTCCGTCTTGGTGATCTCCTCGTCCTTGCCCTCCATCTCCAGGACTCTCTTGCGCAGTGTCTCCAGCTCCGCCATGAGGCTGGAGTTCCCACACTCACCCTTACTGATCTTGTCCCTCAGCTCCAGGAGGTCTACCTCTGACTTCTGCAGTGCCTTGTTGCTCTCCTCCAGCTCCTCGATCCTGTGGGCCAGGCCTGCCAGCTTCAGGCGGAGCTGGCGGCTCTGGGACTCCTGGTTGGCCAGCTTGGCAGTCATCGCCTCACGCTCCTGGGTGAACTTGGCGGCTTTGCACTCTAGCTCCGCCTCAAGTTTGAGGACCTTCTGGCTGTCCTCCTTGGCGTTGCCGCTGACAGCGACCAGTCGGTGTTCTCTCTCCTGGAGCTCGCTGCTGAGGTCCTGGACCTTCTGGCTCTGCTGGTCGATCTGCTCGATGTGGAGCTGCCGCTCGTCCACCAGCATCAGGACAAAGGACTTGAGTTTGACCAGCTCCTCACGGACCTTCTCTAGCCTCCTGCTCTGATCCTTGTCTTTACGAGCCTGGTACACCTTCTCCTGCTCCAGCAGCCTCTTTAATCTGGGAGAGGGAGAGAGAAAGTGACAGAGAGAGAGGGAGTGAGCGAGATATGAAGTGTGATTGAAATTGTAATTCTCTATTTGAGATTTTGCACCTGATATAATAATGATTGATCCCCCCTCTATATTAAGACACTGTGAAACTTTGTATATACTAAATTGTAATTACATCCACAGGAACAGTGTACAGGAGCACTGTAGTTACCTACTGCTACATAGTACTTACAACTATTGAACCTATTTGAGTTTGTAAAGTACAAATACAAAATAAACATTAACAGAATGAATGAAAAAAGTATTCTAACTCTTATCATTTCTCACAAATCTCCAAAGTTGACCAACATTCAAAACATTTATTTGTGATAGGTAGCATGTGAGACACTGAATTGAACTATACTGTATAGATTGTCCTGTTAGTGTGCACTTGCACATCTCTGTAGTTCCCAGATTAGAGGAGCCTGACCAGACTCAGAATGAGTTCCTTACCCCCAGCCCAGAGCCCCGTGGGCAGTGGTGGGAGCTGGGATGGGAGTCAGGCAAGCAGAAGAGATGGCAAAGGCATGATAGGAGAGGGAACAAAGGAGGGAGGGAGGGTAGATTAGAAGCCTGAACCCTCATGTGATTCTCCCCAACAGGGGTAACCCGTAACCCTGCACTTCACACCGAGCAAAGTACCACAACATCAGAGATATGCTAGCTAAACTATAAAAACACAACCATTGTCCTTAATGTGGCACACTGCCAACCTAGGGACACCGAGTGAACCTTAACGGAATAATGTTAGTAGATGTTTAACTAATCTCTGTGGGAGTCTCTCTGTCCAACTGCTATAGAGAGAGTCTGCTGCCTGCAACAGGTCCCCTCCATATGGTGGACACACTAGAAACTCATTATAATCAGGAGTCCTGCACATCATTGTCCTTTGTTGAAGCCTGTTACTTTGCATTACAAACATTCTCCCTGCATGGCACGTTACCCAAATCGACCAGGAGCCGGTCTAACAACAATGATAGCAGCCAGATTGTGCTGTTTTCTTAAAGTTTCAACAGCTCAAACTCTCAGACTTACCAACTGCTAGTCAGGAGGGATGCATAGCAGGTAGGTCCATGCCTAGTGTGTTTTGGATAGTGCAGGAGCTGAGCTGTATGCAGGCAGGCAGGCAGGCATGCAGGAGGCGGCCCTCTCTCACAGGGTCATGAGAGGGCCCCCACTCCACAGGGACTTAGCCATCACATTCCAAACATGTCATCAATGGACAATGAAAGGTGAATGTTGTGTAAAACTAGCCCTGCTCCACTAGCGGGTGGTGATGTCATCCCTCCTCCCATTTATGGCACAGAATGGTGCTGCCCTTTTTTGGGCACAGAGGAGGAGCCCAAGCCAGGGGGGAAGGCTTGTCACACTATCTTTCCTGTTCCCCTCTTTCTTTTCTCTCTCTCTCTCTCTCTCTCTCTCTCTCTCTCTCTCTCTCTCTCTCTCTCTCTCTCTCTCTCTCCCCCAACAGAGAAGGATAATTGTATTTGTGAGAAATACAGTAGATTTGCAGCAGCTTTTTAGACCAGAGGTAAAGTGATACTAAGTTAGCAGAGTGTCTTTCCACTTCCCATACAAATCAAATCAAATTTTGGCCACATGCGCCGAATACAACAGGTGCAGACATTACAGTGAAATGCTTACTTACAGCCCTTAACCAACAGTGCATTTCTTTTTAACAAAAAAAGTAAAAATAAACAACAACAAAAAAAGTGTTGAGAAAAAAAGAGCAGAAGTAAAATAAAATAACAGTAGGGAGGCTATATATACAGGGGGGTACCGGTGCAGAGTCAATGTGCGGGGGCACCGGCTAGTTGAGGTAGTTGAAGTAATATGTACATGTGGGCAAGCTGGTGTCTTGCCTGACCCAATTGTCTCTTGTATGTCATGTGTTTCCATAGAAACAAGGCAACAAGGGGAAAATGTTGTTTTGGGGAGAACAATGTCACACTAGTGCCAGACTCTCTAGTTCATAATCTTCTGTCCCTTGAATGCAAAGGGAAGCAAATTGGTAGAACTAAATCCAAATGTCTATCTGTGTAGGATGCTACTGCTACATCCATAGTACACAGTGTAATTAATAGATGCCAGATCCCAAGGTCGGATAAAAGTAGACTTGTGTCATTTTTTCTAAATGGAGTGAATTTGCTCCACCAGAAGCCCAATGCTGCTGAGAGTAAGTTTAAGTAGCCTTGTCCGAGCCAGAAAGACTCCTGCCCTATGGGCCAAGCTCCTGTTTCTGTAGTGTAAGGCAGCTTGATGAACAAATACACCCCCTGGACAGAACGCTAGTCTGTCGCAGGAATGTTGCAGATATTTGCAGCACTGCAATGCTCTCACCATTAAAGCACATACAGGATCTCTCACCCACACTACAGCTCCTGGCTGGGGAGCAACACTTGTGGTCTTGTTCAAGTGGAATCATACAAATACCACACAGACGATGTCACTGGTCATATGAATCCTAAAACCTGCGTCACGAGGCCAAGGGTGGCCTTCAACACAATCTGCCTGGCAGCTGTCGAGCAGAAAAGGCTCCAGATTAAAGGCAATACAGGAATTAACTGTTGCATGACTCACCGCAAATATGTACCATTAGCTACCACTGCATTTCAGGTGAGAGGAATTATACAACAAGGCTACTTCAAGGTATCCAGAGAATCTTACTGAGGAGACCATGTTTGCATTCCAAATGGCACCCTATTCCCTTTATAGTACACTACTTATGACTAATATTGTTGTGCTACAAGATACTCCCTGGATACCCCCATTCTCAGTGGTGATGGTAGTGTTTATGATGGCATTATGAATAAGTCCTTTAGCGGATGACCAGCGTTTTTCCTGGTGGTCTGGGCTATTCATAGCCATGCTGTTGACAGAGGCCTATCAGTGAGGTCTAGCAGAGATGGTCGAAACCTCCCATACCACATGTCTGTGGCCAAAGCCAAGCCCACAGGAGAGACTAAACTAATGTCACACCAATTACTATAACGATCACAATTACTATAAAAAAAACTTTGAACAGAAAGGAAGAAGTCACATTTGAAAATAACTACTCTACTCTATAGGGAGAATTTTTTCCTCTGGGAAGGAATCATCTTGTCCGATTTTTGTTTCAGTTTAAAGTAATACATTTGGAAAACAGAGACGGCCATATCACTACATTTTAATTTAGGGAAATCATATCTTTCTTGTAAGAATAACTACTGACAGAAAGACCTGATAGAAAGGTAGTGGGTTCGATCCCCGGGACCATCCATACACAAACATTTATGCACGCATGACTGTACGTCGCTTTGGATAAAAGCGTCTGCTAAATGGCATATTATTATTATTATAAAAGGAGTGGGGGTAGTGGGAGAGGTTCCAAACAAAGACCACCTAATTGGCCTGGCAGGCAGAGTTTTTTCTCTCTCTATCTCTCTCACTCTCTCCGTCTCTTTCTCTCGCTCTCTTTCATTGTCTCGCTCTCTGTCTCTGTGTGTGTGCTGACTTGCATCCTTTCACAGGTGCTCAGGGTTGTCCAGTCTATGACATCACCTACAGTGAGTGAATCTCCGAGGTGACTGCAGCTGGAAGGAATGTGTTATCACATGTTGCTGAGAGAGCGGGGGAGGGGGACGACGGGGAGGCGCGGAGGGGAGAGGGGTCATCGGTGAGGGGTGGGGGTGATGGGGCAACTGCAAATCTGTGCGTCAGAGAGCACAAGACAAGAGCATGTAAGTATCTAGTTTGCAATATACAGACTCCCACAGACAAAGCACACATTTATAAAGCCTTATGCTGCTTTACAAAATCTTTCAAAACTCGAGGGAGAGAGAAAACCAGAGATGGACATCTGCTCACCAAATGAGTAATGATTTTGAGGTGACATCATGTTTGGAGATGGAGTATAATCATTTTCATGCATTTGAATCGTACAGAGGCAGAGGTCACTAGTCTGTCATTTCACATGTTGCTGAATGTGACCCACTCAAACCAAATACGAATATAAACCCCCCCAAATGTATTATTTCAACATTTAATATTTGTAACACTCCCTCTAAGACTCCATCCACATAAACCTAGCTAAATGTATGGTTGTCGATCAGTTTGTTGTTCTCAGCCTGCTGAAAGGGATACTTTGTGATTTTGAGGCCCTTTAACTACTTCTCTAGAGTCAAATGAACTTGTGGATACCATTTTTATGTCCAGTATGAAGGAAGGTAGTTTTGCGAGCCAATGCTAACTAGCTATGGGTATCTGCTAGCATGCTGGCCGTTTCAACAGGGTAATTAGACTCTGTATAGTCATGGGCTGTCTTCTCCACGGTACATCCAACAGCCTGTGAAACCTGTGTGAATTTGTTCACTAGTTCACTGAACCAGCCACACTACATGTCCTCAATGCAGAAAAACAAGGCAGTTCTCAGGTTGAGCAAAGGTGGGGTACTAGGATTTCAAGGGCATTCCTCAAAATCATTAAGTAATGTGAAGCCCTACCTGACTATGCAGAGGTGAATTGGGTCCATGGAAACATTGGATGCGCCCCAAATAGCACCTTGTTCCTTATATAGCGCACTTCTTTTGACCAGAGCCCTATGCACTACTTTTGACCAGGGCCCATAGGGCTCTGGTCAAAAGTAGTGCACTATGTAGGGAATAGGGTGCCATTCTGGACGCACACATTACTTCACTGGGCTGTGTGTCTGAAAAACAGAGTGTATGCCGGGAAGCGGCTGTGTCTGAGTGAGTTTTACCCTGGCATTTACTGTCTGGCAGTGTGGGTAACATCCTCTTGTCTTCTCATCTATTTCTCACAGACAGAGATAGAAATGTCTCACCACTGCAGCGGTGGACTTAGTGATTTGGAGGCCCCAGGCAGAGGCCAGTCTGAGGATCCACCTCAGGATTTATAGTAAAGACATGTAATTTAACTGTAAAAAGTGTATTACCTATTAATGTGCCATGAACACAAACAGTCATGATGTTTTCATCTGATTGTCAAACAAATCACTTCAAAAATTACCTTGTCACGTTCATCCAAAATAATTCCAGCATCTGAACAGTACATTGTGCACCTGCCAACTTTCCTTTAATCAGCAAGTGACTGAAACTACACTGAATCAACGTTGTGAACAGAGTGCCCCATGGTGGTGGTGGGGTTATGGTATGGGCAGGCATAAGGTACGGACAATGAACACAATTGCATTTTATCGATGGCAATTTGAATGCACAGAGATACCGTAATGAGATCCTGAGGCCCATTGTCGTACCGTTCATCCGCCGCCATCACCTAATTTTTTAAAGGTATCTGGGACCAACAGATGCATATCTGTATTCCCATTCTCATGTGAAATCCATAGATTGGGGCCTAATTTATTTATTTCAATTGACTGATTTCCTTACATGAACTGTAACTCCTTTGCAATTGTTGCATGTTGTCACCGAAGACAGCATCCAAGCAAGCAAAACAGCGCCCCTCTGTCTTACTATATGTAGCCCATGTATCTGATGATGTCTGGCCAAAAATAGTATGACATGCCATAATATTTTTGGCCAGACAGCTTCATACATGTCCTCTGCCTCGACGACGATGGCAGTATTCTCAGCAGCACCTGTCTTTTTACTAAAGAAATGCATATTGTGTCCCCCTAGAGTCTAAGGGCCCGGGGCTGGGTTTCGACTAAGCTAACATATGGAATTGTTTTAAGATGGTCATACCAATGATAATTTAGCTATTTGATTTTCTATTTTTTAGTAACCCTGCAGGTATAAAAACACACACACACACACATATATATATTATTTGATGAAACACTGCTATTAGCCCATAGAAAATAATTTAATAACAGATGCATACATGCAAAAACAGATGTAATCAAAAGGAAGTATGTTTTGAAGTGTCTGTCCTACATCTGAGAGATATAAGAAAGCCCCCAAAAATATGTATACCTTTTACGTGGAAATGCGCTATTCACTCCCATATATTTTTCGGGCTGGTACTGGGTTACCTTCAGACGAGTCTCGTGGCACTTATAGGGATCGTAGAGCAGATCGTGTTCGTAAGATTCTCATCTTTCCAGAGAGGGGTCATATTTGTGTGTAGCCCAAACCGTTCGGACGCTACAGATGTTTTCGTGAAAAGACCGATTTTCAGGATGTCTCCTGGTCTGACAAACACCACTGTAGCTCGGCCACCTTCCACCACAGATTCATTTTGATGTGAATGTTTAATTTTAATTTTTTTTATGCCTTGAGCGGAGCCAGCACATGAGGCCCCTTGATGATGTGAGGCCTGAGGTAATTGCCTATTCTGTCTAATGGCAAGTCAGCCAGTGCACCACTGAAGGAGCATGTATGTATTTGCATGTACGGAAATGTCATGAACAATATGTGAGAAACATATGAACAATAGGCAATTAAATAATAAAGTACAAGGTCATTCATTTTAGAAAATTATAATTGACAGAAATTATTTGCATACACAGCGTTTAATTTGGCAATCCAGGGCAGCTTTTCTCTAATGGAAGAAGACATACACAACACTATTTGTTCCTCAAATAGGAACTGGGCCATCCATCTGATCCTTACGTAAACCCGCTAGTCAATAAGCATGCAACCCACTGTCAAAACACCACCATATTTTCATGTTGTGAGTAAACGGTTCAGTGAGGCATGATGAGGCCTTTCCATTGGGGAGTGTTTTACACCTGGAGTAGTTGTGCATAGCGCTGTAGTGTTCTGATGGTGAGGGGCTATTCATCGCCATGCATTATCAGATAGACAGATCCCTGCTCTGGGTTTTATCAGATTACTCAGATTACTGATTTCAGTTGAATGCATTCAGTTGTGCAACTGACTAAGTATCCTCCTTCCCCTTTCCCTTCTGTACATAGGTGATGATGTCAGTGGTTCTGTCCTGACTTGCAGGTCTTTAAGTCTGCATCCCAAATGGCACCCTATTCCCTACACAGTGCACTACTTTTAACCAGAGCCCTGGTCAAATGTAGTGCACTACATGCTAAATGGCATATTATTATTATTATTTACATTCAGAACAGGGTACCACTGAGGCACTGTACTGGGGGCCAGGTTAGATTGACATCTGGATTCCACCTCTGTTATGAGCCTCATCAATTCCACCTGGGAGCATCATGCCGGTATTGGATTTTTAAAATCTCTTCTACATCTTCTTGTTTTAAAGTAACTGTCCAGTGTTTCCAGATTTCTATGAAATATTACCTATAATTAATTACCATATGGGTGAAATAGTTTTCCTTCCAAAAAATGATATTTAAGTATGTTAAAAAGCAGCTTTTCTGTGTTGGAATGGTGTTGGCGTACCCTAACAACAGAATGGTGTGGGCGTATACCGGTCATAAAAAATATTCATGCGAGTAGACCGCTGATTGGCCAGCTCATCCTCCTCCGGTTTGTTTCAGATACAATTTTTCTATGTTTTTTTATATATTTTTTTTAATTTGTGCTTTGGCCACAAATACGAGTATAGGATGGGTCAACAACATTATTTGGGTATGAGTTAACAGAACATTAACTTTTAAAAGTGAGATTTTCACTGGACAGTTACTTTAAATCCATAGCCAAAAACACAATTGGTCTCACAATAGGATAAGTGTATTGGATGGGGAATAACAGCTTTTTATCTATAAAGGTAAATGGGTGTGTCATTAATATAACATCAACGCCATTAGAAAAGTAATCTATGTAATATTGCCATAATACTGTAAATCATAGTTATAGTAACATATACTTCACTATGTCAGTACCTCTTCTATATGGTGTGTTCAATGACAATGGTTTCGTCATGGCTCTCCAACCCTGTTGCTGGAGAATCGGGTTAGTTACAACTGGGGTTGGAGAGAACCTACAGGAGGCTAGCTCTCCAGGAACAGGGTTGGAGAGCTTGGCACTGCCTGATCCTGGTGTGTCATTTTCTATTCATCACTCTGTTGACTGTTCACCCTTATCAACAGAGCCTTGCAGGGCCCCTTAGGGCCTCTTTCCAGCCCTTTGAGGGGTTCACTTGCTTGGGTGTCTTTGAAGCTGCCTCTGTCTCATGTACAGATTTGTCCCTCACTCTTTGTCCGGTATTGCTTGGGCAGAACTGCTTGATGGGGACTGTGTGTGTGTGTGTGTGTGTGTGTGTGTGTGTGTGTGTGTGTGTGTTTCTTTTGGTTTTACTATCCACGTGGGGAACAGAAGTCCTCGTGTAGCTCAGTTGGTAGAGCATGGCGCTTGCAACGCCAGGGTTGTTGGTTCGATTCCCACGGGGGGCCAGTATGAAAAAATTAATAAAAAACTGTATGCACTCTGGATAAGAGCGTCTGCTAAATGACTAAAATGTAAAATGTAAATGTAAAACAAGGAAAATCCTGACAAGTGGGGACATTTTGCCGGTCCACACAAGGAAAAAAACTAGGTTGGGGTTAGGGTTAGGGAAGTAGGATTTGGAATGGTGTGTATGTGAGTGTGTGTGAGACTGAGAGAGCTGCTGTAGCATGGCATCAGAGCAGAGGGCTGTGGTGTGTGACGGTGTGATAGTGACGCCAACCCTCTCCTACCATGGCTGAGATTGATTTCTCTTTGATCCCTCATCATGTCCTGTTTCTCAACGTCCCTGTGACACACAACCAATTCTGTAGTAAACATGATGTACGTACTCTCATGGAATGAGATAGGAACAGGCAACTCTCACACACGCACACGCCTCCCCTCACCTCTCCCTCTCCTGTTCCAGTAGGTTGGTGAAGTCATCACTCTTGTTCATGAAGTCGGTGTGTTTGCGTTTCTCATTGTCCAGCTCGTTAACCGTGCGGCGGTGACACTTCTCAGCCAGCAGCAGCTGCTCCAGCATACGCCGGTACGTCTCACGATGCTTGTCTTCCAGCCGGTCCAACTGATCAACATATTAGAGGGTTTTCAATGACAACCACCATGGTTTCGTCCCAAATTGCACCCTAATCCCGATATAGTGCACTACTTTTGACCAGGGCCCATATGGTCAAAAGTAGTGCACTAATTAGGGAATAGGGTGCCGTATGAGGCACACACAATGTCTGACTCATTCATACACTGGTATCTATCCAATATATTCATTAAACATTGACCTCTTTATTAACACAGGGTAGCTAATGGCTAGCTATATATAATCTATATTCATGTTGATATACATTTCTATAGTGGCACTGCCTCACCTCTTGCATGGGCATCTGGTAAACGTCGTCCCCTAGCGTTGTAGTGTTGTTGGTCAGTAGGCTGTCTCTCTGCAGGGCCTGGAGGGGTTTGGTGGGGGCAGCTGAGCCATAATGGGCCTCCAGGGCTTCGGGTTGGGTACGCTCTGACTTCAGCATGTGGATGATATCTTCTCTGGCCTACACACACGAGGAGCAGGGGGACACGTTAGGTCTCCTAAGAACCATTTACACAGAGAGACAAAGACCTTCTTTTTACTTTTACCTTCTTTATTCTAGATGACAATTAAACCACTTCAAACTGACATATGTGGCTTTGTTATTGTGATTAGTGATTGAGGTTGTAGTTAAAAAAATAAAAATGGTTTATGAGCTGTCAGAACGGTTGGAGAATATCCAGGGGAAACCATATACAATAATTTTGAAGTATGATCATCATATTGAAATGACCCCATGGTGGGGTAGCTATTGAAAATAAACAGTACATTTATGGTGAGTTTTCCCGCACTGTGATCTCAACTCTCCCCACAGGGCGGTGCTGTTCTCATCAGATAGACCCCTGAGTGTCTCCTTTCATACAAATGAAATGTTCATAACCCAGGCTGTTTCTCAAATGGCACCCTATTCCCTATGTAGTGCACAACTTTTGACCAGAGCCCAGTCGGAACAGAGTTATACAACAATACCATTCTTTATCTCACTCCTTAAACTGTTAATAGAGAGTTTAATTATCGTCATACCATTGTACTGGAATATCATTAGCAAGTCATTTAGATAGTATGAACAAAACCATTCTTCAGTGTGGATAAGACATTCAGAGCATGTTGGATTTCAACATTTCAACATGTTCAGGGTTAGATTTCAACATACGGTATAGTACCCCAAGTTGCAACTTTGGAAAGTCATCAATACAGCCAAACAAATCAGCTGGATGGAGAGAGGGTTGAGGATAGACCTGATAGCAGCAGCAGCCCGCTCTCCCTGGAGGTTTGTTTAGAAATGGAACTCAATTAAGAAAATAATTAGCAGCAGGCTTAACACTGGACAGCCCCTAGTGGTCTCTGCTTCCTGCTCATCGGGACCTGCAGAGTGGGGCAGGGTTGGAAGGGACCAGAGTTAATGGCTGCTGACACTGAGGTTGACTCACCAGCAGTGAGACAGTAGGATGACTCCTGGTTACACTAACATGTCAAGCCTGACACTGAGAAGATGAGATGTTACCACCTGCCAAATATAACACAAACCACTGACCACAATGTTAGCAGTTAGCACACAGCAGCACAGTGTGGAGAAACTCTCTGTGTGCATCCCAAATGGCACCCTATTCCCTATATAGTGCACTACTTTTTTTTTAACCAGAGAACTATAAAGGGAGTAGGCTGCCATTTGGGATGCATTCAATGTTAGAAGTTACAGTAGCTAGCACACAGCAGCACAGTGTCAGTGGAGAACCTCTCACCTGCACCTCTCCCTCCATGACCCCCAGCAGACGGAGCAAGTCCTCCTCAGAGAGATCCGTCACCCCTGCTGCATTATGTTGTCCTCTGCTGCTCTCTGGGGTTCTCTGGGGCCTTTTCACTGTTCCAGGCACCACCGTCTGGATCTTCCCCTCTTTCTGTTTCTCCGCTCGCTGGACTTTCATTTTCATTTTTCTCTTCATCAGCTCTGGTGTGTTCTCCTCCTCCTCTTTGGTGAAGGCTTTGGTGGGCTGGGTAACCTGGTTTATCTGTCCGTCATCTGGGCCGTCCATGGCTGTGCTGCTCCTGGACCGCATTCTCACCTGCAGGGGGAAGACGGACAACAGGGATTCTGAATCCACAGCCCAAATAGAATATGGGCAATTCCACAGTAACGGATGTGCGCTTTGTCTCCGTTTTTTTTACTTTCAAATGTATGCCAAACAAAAACCATTGATATCACATTTTAACAAACCATACAACTCTATGCACAAGGACTACTTTCAACAATTTCCACAGACATTTTTACAAAAACTAATTTAGTGGAAGAACTGTGCAGAGCAAACATTGGTAACGGAATTACGGTAAAATCTCCCTCAGGGTTTTATGCAACAACGTTTTCCAAAAAATGGGACATGGCACCTTGAGTTTGAAAAAATATATTTTGGTTATTGAATTACAGTAAGTGAAGTGGATTTACACTCGGTAACGGAATTACGGTAACAGAATGACATCATGGGTCCCTGATCTGTACTACACAGAAATACATAATGTCATTCTCCTCATGTTTCACAAGTTTGGATATCACAGCAGAGCAGAGCAGGGTAATGTAGAGTTCAGTACAGTGCAGTAGAGTACAGTAGAGTAGAGTTCAGTAGAGTTCAATAGAGTAGAGTTCAGTACAGTACAATACTCTACTTTTCGTTACTTTACTGTGCACTGTGCTCTGTCACTGTGCTGTACTGTACTGTACTCAGTACTGTATTGTACTGTACTCTACTGTGGTCTACTCACTGTACTGTACTGTGCTATCCAAACTTGTGAAACATCAGTCTATGATAGGTATAGTTTTGGTCCCAGACATCAAGCCAGGGTGAACTGACAAAATGTCAACCAAATTTCAACATCCATGGACGTCCGCTGTCGGCTGGTGCTCAGTGGGTGAGGATGCTGGTTACAGTAAATGGAAAGAGAGGGGGCTCATGGATAGGTCTCAGTAAGAACTGAGAGAGGTGACATTAACTTGAGAAAGAGAGGGAGAGAGGGAGAGCGACAGAGAGGTAGAGACAGAGAGAGAGAGAGAGACAGAGGCAGAGCGGGGTTGTCAGACAGGGTGTTTCAGCACTCTTGGTTTGACCACCAGACTTCTTGTTTCATTAACATTTTTTATTTTATTTTTTTGATATCCATGTTTTTATTTTCTACTGTTCTTCGATTCTTTATCTTTGTACTTAAAAATATACATAATAATAAATAATAAATAGTTATTATCTCTGCAGAGCAACATAATCATGTAACAATATTTAATGACAAATAATATGCCATGAATTCTTAAACTAGCATAAAAACTTGGATACATATTCTCTGACCATTAATTCTGTGGGGTTGTATCTCATGATATGTTTTGAGCAGGTTGAAAGTGTTGCTAATATTTCTCAGTAGAGATCTCCTTCAGCCATACAATGCCAAATCAAATGTTATTTAAACAAAAGGTGTAGACTAACAGTGAAATGCTTACTTAAGGGCAGTTCCCAACAATGCATAGAGAAATAATAGAAAAGTAACACACGTAATAATAAAAGTAATAATAAATACACAATGAGTAACGATAATTTGGCTATATACACAGGGTACCAGTACCAAGTCGATGTGCAGGGGTACGAGGTAATTGAAGTCGATATGTACATATAACTAGGAATAAAATTACGGATAATAAACAGTAGAGCAGCATATGTGATGAGACAAAAAAGTGAGTGCAAAAAGGGTCAATGCAGATAGTCTGGGTAGCTATTTGTTTAACTATTTAGCAGTCTCATGGTTTGGGGGTAGAAGCTGTTCAGGGTCCTGTTGGTCCCAGACTTGGTGCACTGGTACCGCTTACTGTGCGGTAGCAGAGAGAACAGTCTACAACTTGGGTGGCTGGGGTTTTTGACAGTTTTTAGGGCCTTCCTCTGACACCGCCTGGTATACCATTTTTAGGGCCTTCCTCTGACTGGTATAGAGGTCCTGGAAGGCAGGGAGCTCGGCCCCAGTGATGTACTGGGCCATACGCACTATCCTCTGTACCCCCTTGCGGTCGGATGCCAAGCAGTTACCATACCAAGCGGTGATGCAGCCAGTCAAGATGCTCTCAATGGTGCAGCTGTATAACATTTTGAGGATCTGAGGCCCATGGCAAATCTTTTTTGCCTCTTGAGGGGGAAGAGGTGTTGTCGTGCCCTCTTCACGACTGTGTTGGTGTGTGTGGACTACGATAGATCCTTAGTGATGTGGACACCGAGGAACTTGAAGCTCTCGACCCCCTCCACTACAGCCCAGTCGATGTGAATGGGGGACAATAAGAATGCTTGTACAAGAGAACAAATTAACTTTATGTAATCTCAGCCACATTCAAGTATGACCTCAAGACTTTTAATCAATAGCAGAAATGCAGCATATTCACAGTATTTCCCCTGTGATCTCACATACTCTCTCTCACCTCTGACTAATGCTCTGTGTCATTCCTGCTGTACTCCCAAAGTGCATAGTATTTCATACTTCTCCCTTTTTCTGTTTCTTAAATTGCTGTTTTCGGTATGGGACCTAACCCAGGGAGTGAGAATGGTCTAGAAGAATGTTCTCATGGGGACTTTTAACAACATCTGGAACCAAATTAATATTATGAGGCAAGTAGCTATAATAGCAACTGTGTTCTTCTAACCTGGATAAACTAATATATTCAGTGTGATGTTAATACATCAAAAAACACGTGACCTTGAATGGTAGGCTATATAAACCAATTTATACCAATACAGGACTGTCATGACTTTACAGTATTCTAGTGTAATTCTAATCTCCTTCACCAGACACTTCCCTGCTATGCGCAATTGGCCTGGGGACAAGGTTAGTGTAATTGTAACTACAGTATATGTAGTGGGTTAGTTACTGCTTTTACTGCTACTTGTACACTCTGCACTCCGTACTCATAATCAAAGAGAAATGAGGACATTTCCTGGCCAAGAGCTCTCGGCCCCCAACTGTGCCAGCCAAGTCAGATCCATTGTTTCCATTGTCCTAGAATCTAGAGAGCCAGAGACACGCTTTCCATCATCTCACACCAGGGAGCTGGGCTACAGAATGCCTGGCCTGGCTGGCCTTGTTTGGACATTGATCCGACCAGTGTGTTTGTTGTGTCTCTGTAATGAGAGTCTAAGGAATGAGTCAGCTTCAGAAGCATCATTATCTCTGTGTATCAGAGGCTACATGCTGCAAAAATGCGGATCACGCAATATACTCTTAACAGATGGGCAATTTTGATTGAATTTGGATGATAAATAGATGAAAAGCTCTTGTTTTAATCAAAATAATCAGCTCTCATATCGGGAGTGGTGCTTTGGGACAATGCCAGGGATGATGATTCCACATCATCAACACAACAGCCCAGACAGCAGACACAGACACAGGGGATCCATAACCCGCGGTGGGAAAGAACACGATGAGGCCATTTCATCTGAATGGGGCCAAAGTGCCCCAAGTTTGCACAGTCTCGGATGAAAGCAACGTGTGACTCAGACTGAGAGAATCTTTTCAGCGAAATAGTAGCAGCCACTTTAGAGCTGGGTGTTATTAGTAGTTGTTTCAGGGGAGAAGCTAAGCACTCCCGCGGGTACAACCATGGAGCTGTCTGAATTTTGAGTGTCAGTTTGATTCTAACCAAATTAAGAAATGTGTAAAGAAAAATAAAGCTAAGACAAGCTATGGGTAACAGCAGGCAAAATATTACATTGGGGTGTTTACCTAATGGTTCTGTATCGAATATCTAAAACAGGCTCTGGGGAAAGGGTGGCAATATTTACGATGTTATTCTGAAGTTGCTTCAAACCATATGAAGTCACTCACTATAATTTACATGTTCTCCTCTGTCTCATGCCCACCCTTCAATAACAATGAAGTTAGAACAGAAAATAAAAATTGTATTTGCTGTTGTTCACAACTTGTATTCCACCTATAAATGTGGATTCACAGGCAAAATTCAACGGTAGCCTAATAAACAAACCCTCACTATAAACATGATGACGATATTAACATGGTATCAGTTCACAAATTAGAATCCAGTCTGAGACATGTAAACAACTTTCCCTCATTAGGGTATATCACACATAGAAATTAGCAACACTGAATTATCATGAAGAGCAGCTTCAGCTCTTAAAGTTATTTCTGGAGATGTTATCATGCCAGGCTGGTCTCCCCAATTTACACTTGAGCCTTGATAAAAACTGGGACAGCTGTGGCCCATAGCTGACGGTACAGCATTGCAGGAAATGTTTAACTTGCAGTGTATTTGAGGTTTAAAAAGGCTTCTGAAGTTTGTCATTTTCACTTTGACATTTCAGACTTGATTTTCCCTTAACCCCTACAAAAATGTCCATGAATTATAATCCACATAATAATTACAGGATTATTTTCAGGATTGCAGGATTATTTTCCTGCTGTAGAAAACTGGCTCAAATTAAGATCCTATATCTGTATGTGAATTCTCTGCCCCTGAAAAGAGGGAGGTAAGTAAGAACAGGACCCCTATTTGTGAGCTGGACCTTGGGCTGGGCGGCATGCACAGCTGTCTGCTGGTGAAGTTTTCTGTAAGTATTTATAGTGGACCCATCCCTCCACTTGTGCAGTGGGACCCAGAAGGGGAAACTACAAAAGACTATCACTTTATAAGCCATCAGCATTCTAAACAGATGACAATACTTTTACTCCACAGCTGTAGGTCTCACACACACCAGCCACCAGTTGTAAATAAATCTTCGCTGCTGCTTGTCAGACTGGGATGCATTGCACACATGATCACACAGTTGCTAACTCACTAATTCGTTCCTATGATTCTCTGCACACATTTTTCAAGATTTATGCTACATCCTCTGATATTCAAAGACCTCTGCTATTTATAGAAACAAAATGGTGGATAATGATAGGACTTCTAGGCTTCTCTCACACTCACATTCCTCCATGGGCATGTGGACAGTGCAGCTAATCTGGGAAACAGACTGGCGGTGTGGGCCAAGGCAGTCCTGTTGTCAGACAACTCATTTCAAATCTATTATTTGACTAATTTTGTTCCTGTATAGCAGAGGAGGCTGGTGGGAGGAGCAATAGGAGGACAGGCTCATTGTAATGGCTGGAATGGAATAAATGGCACGGTATCAAACACATCAAACATATGGAAACCACCATTTATTCCATTCCAGCCATTACAATGAGCCTGCCCTCCTGCAGCTCCTCCCACCAGCCTCCTCTGCTGTATAGTTACAGTGGAAGATGTAATGCCTTGTCTGGTGCAATCAGGGCTACTTGTGGACAGTCAC